CTAACAGAATTGTTGTGAAGATTAAATGAGATAATGTATGTAAAACTATAGCACAGTTCCTGGTCCATAATAAGCAGGTCATCAGTAAATTTTAGCCTCATCAGAAACATATTCCACGAGATTTGCTTATTAATAGGGAAACGTTTCTATAAATACTACAAATGAATAATACTGTGGATGCTATTTCTACTTTGCAGACTTACTAAACGTTAAGTATTTTGTTGCTCTGCATAATAAAATTTTTTAACGTGAGCACTCAATTTAAATAACCATTTAATTAAAAATAGCTGTTTTTTTAACGTTATTAACTAATCCGTCAGGTTTTCACATGGGTAGAAAAAGTCTCTATAGAATACAGATATTTTATTATCTATGAATTTGTATGATTTTGCATCATTTATTGTCACAGAGAGAGATCCTATCTTGATAACTGCATTGTCCCTTTATGGGAAAAACCTCTTTTTAGCTCCAGTTCTTAGACGATATTCAGTTAATATTTGTGGAGATGATAATTATTCCTAGAACAAACATGGGAAAATTCTATTGTATGTTTACCAAAATCCTATATAATAGAGAAGATACGTTTCTGAATTAAAACAAAACAAACAAAATGCATGTTTCAGTTGGGGTTTGAGAGACCAACAGGACTGCCATGCATGTTTTCCACCTGTCTTAGACTAGCTGTGTCCTCCTGTCTCAATTCCAATGCTCTTTTACTGGCCAGGTTCTTCCCCAAATGGCAGTGGCTGCCTGGTTTTGAAAATTCTTTCATCATTAAGACACACACACAAAAAAAAAAAACAATTGCCATTGAGTTGATTCCAACTCATGGCAACCTCATGTGTGTCAGAGTAGAGCTGTGTTCCATAGGGTCTTCAGTGGCTGATTTTTCAGAAGTGGATCACCAGGATTTTCTTCCTAGGTGCCCCTGGATGGACTCGAATCTCCAATCTTTTGGTTAGCAGCCAAGCGCATTAACCATTTGCACCATCCAAGGACTCCAGTTAAGACACAGTCCCACGTTACTTAATTTGTCAATAGAAATTATACTTGGAGACTGTAAAATCTAAGTTTGCAATTAATTATTCCACAATAACTAAACACTAATGTTTCTGAATTCCATCTAAAGATGCCAGTAAGTTGTGAGAAAAATTGTGCTAATAATTTAATATACTCAACATTTAAAAAAAAAAAAACATTGCCATTGAGTCGATTCCAACTCATAGCGACTCTGTAGGACAGAATAGAACTGCCCCACAGGGTTTCCAAGGAGCAGCTGGTGGATTTGAACTGCTGACCTTTTGGTTAGCAGCCAAACTCTTTAACCACTTCGCCACCAGGGCTCCATATTCAACATAGCATATGCGAAATTAAAATTAAGCTATCTAGAAGATGAACTGAAAGTAAATCTAGAAGACAGTAGCAGCACTTTTAGAAATAAAAATTTTCCAGGGATTTTATTATACCAGCAAGTTGTACTATTTCAAGTTTGTTCCACTAATCCCATGTTCCTGTCTCTAACTTCTTTTGATAAATAACGTTCCTGGGCTTTTCACCATCTATTTTCTTTTTGTAAACTTGTCAAACCATCTCTGTTTTGTCCTATGTAATTTAAGACTTTGATGTAGTTCTCTGAGACTATCACACAAGTCTGACTAGGAGAATAATTTACAAGGTTCAGAATGAAAGGTCTTTATTAATGCTGTCTCATCTGCAATAATACATCAGTCATGCGTGCCAGGATTTTCACTAGATTAACAGAGGTAAAAGCTTTTAAATGCAGTATTACAATGATGTCATAAGCTTCATTTGTTGTTGTTGTGTGCCATCGAGTCGATTCCAACTCATAGCGACCCTGTAGGACAGATACAAGTTGCTCCACAGACTTTCTTAGGCTGTAATCTTTACAGGGAGAAGCCCTGGTGGCACAGTGGTTAAGAGCTTGGCTGCTAACTGGTGGTTCGAACCCACCAGCAGCTCCGCAGGAGAAAGATCCGGCAGTCAGCTTCTATGAAGATTTACAGCCTTGGAAACCCTATGGGGCAGTTCTACACTGTTCTATAGGGTTGTTATGAGTCCAAATTGACTAAATGGCAATGGGTTAATCTTTATAGGAGCAGATCACCAAGTCTTTTTTCTGTCGGAGCTGCTGAAGAGTTCCAAATACCAATCTTGAATCACTGACCTTTTGGTTAGCAACCAAGCACTTAACACAAGTACCACCAGGGTTTCTCTAATATATACTTTTTAAAAATAGTAATTGATTAATGAGACTAGAGGACTATGAGAAACCATGCCTTTGGATGTGAGCTTATCTATAACTTTCACACATACATTTCTTTGACAGAAAACACAGTTGTAGAAGTTACAGTTTCACATGTCCTTAAGTCAACAGTTAATCTCCAGTCATAACTTAGAATTATATGCATAATGGATATTCTACCTTATGAAGCTAAATGCTGAGGGATAGCAAACAGAGTGGGTTTTCTCAATTTTGAAGTGAGGTTAATTTTTAAGTGTCTTTACTTTATCAATGTATTCCTGACTTGATATTCCACAATCATCGGTACTAATGATGTTTATGTGGCTAGAAGAAAATAAGCACTTCTTATCATTTCAATACCCAATATCTTTTTTTTATTACAATAGACAAATCTAATTACTTCTGATTAATCTCAATAGCTACGATTTGTATCAAGAATAATTCCTTTCCAGTTAAAGTGAAATTCTAATGTTTCCACAATGAGACCTTGTTTTTTATAAGCACATGGTGGAGGGGATGCTAAATAAGAAAATTAACTTTCAGCAGATGGACAACTGTAATAGAAACTAAGTGTTTATTTGAGTATATTCATTTTTATGTACATTATTTTAAACAGAGCCTATAAATATGAAGCTTCCCCCCTCATCCAAAAGTCACCTCTTCTCCTCTCAACTCCTATTTATCTCTTTCTTTTGATATTGGTGTACAAGTTTTATTTCCCATCATATACCCTGCGACCTGTGTGTTACCACAGTACTCAGCCCTTTGCCTTGAGTATAAAGAAGTAAAGCTGTTGTTGGTTGCCGTCAAGTCAGCCCTGACTCACGGAGACCCCATGTGCGATGGAATGAGATGCTGTCATGTCCTCTGCCATCCCCACTAAGTACTTGGGATCAAACTATTGTGATCCATAGGTTTTCATTGGCTGATTTTTTGGAAGTAGATCACCAGGCCTTTTTTCCTAGTCTGTCTTAGTGTGGAAGCTCTGCTGAAACCTATTCAGCATCTTAGCAACACATACCATATTTTTACACAAATAATGCACACTTTCTCCATTTGTTTGCCAACCGTGCCCTCCCCCACAAGGTATTTTCGTAAGCATGCTATACTAATTTTTTTCACAGCAGCAAGTAAAAAAATTGGCATAGCAGCACTAATAAAAATACCTCATGGGGGAGGGCTTGGTAGGCAAACAAACGTAGAAGGCACACGTTATTTGCATAAAAATACAGTAAGCCTTTACTGACCAAAGGGTGGTGGCTGCACATAAGGCGCATTGCCCGAGAATTGAACCCAGCGTGGAAGGCAAGAATTCTGCCACTGAACCACCATTGCCATAAATTGAGCTCAATGTGCTGGACAGGGTTCTAAGCTTTTTAGTATAGTAACTCCTTGAATCTTCACAACCTGAAAAAATGGACACCACTATTATATTCACTTTACAGAAGAGGAAACAAACTCAGAAGAGTTAAGCAATCTAACCAGAGTCACACAGCCTGCACATGGCCAAGCTAGGACCTGAATGCAAGCCTGGTTGTAAAGCCTGAACATTTCACTGTTACCCTGCCTCTGAGACCCTGAATGGTTCAATGTCCCTATGATTGACTTTCAAGTACCAAGTACTTCGTAACATTTACTATAGCTATGATTTTATATTTGGTTTTGTGTTTATTTGATTAATGTCTGCCTCCCGACACTGTCCAGAGCATATTAATAGAACACCTAGTGTCACGGCTTGAATTGTGTCCCTCGAAAATACATATATCAATTTGGCTAGGCCATGATTCCCAGTATTTCACGACTGTCCACCATTTTGTCATCTGATGTGATATTCCTATGTGTTGTAGATCCTCTTGATGTTAATGAGATGGGATTAGTGGCAGTTATGTTAATGAGGCAGGACTCAATCTACAAGATTAGATTGTATTTTAAATCAATCTCTTTTGAAATGTAAAAGAGAGAAGCAAGCAGAAAGACAGGGAGACCTCATACCACCAAGAAAGCAGCACCAGGAGCAGAGCGTGTCATTTCCCTAGACTAATGGAAGACTTTCCCTAGACCAAGGACCTTCCTCCAGAGCCTACAGGGAGAGAAAAATTTCCCCTGGAGCTGGCACCCTGAATTTGGTTTCTAGCCTACTAGACTGTGAGAGAATAAACTTGTTTGTTGAAGGCATCCACTTGTGGTATTTCTGTTATAGCAGTACTAGATAACTAAGATACCTAGTATTTGATGTGTAATAGCAGCTAACACGTGTTAGGCTTTCACCATATGCCAGGCACTGCATCTTAATATTTAGTTATCACAAAAACACAATGAGGCACCTACAAATTTAGCTCCACTTTATAAAGAGGAAACTGAGACAGGGAGAGATTGGGTGACTTGCCCAAGGTCACACGGCTAGCAAATGGTGGATCCAGGATTTAAAATCAAACATCACATCCCAGAACCATGCTCTGAATGATGGAAATCTAGGTTGGGGAATCAAAGAAAGGAATAGAAGGGAGGTGGCATTTGAGATACATAAAAGGGCAAAACAGAAAGGATAAAACAACCGTCTAGTCAGAGGAAACAACATGGATAAAGTAATGTTGACCAGTGTGCCTGGAGCCTAATAGGTGCTCAATAAATATGAATGAATGAATGAATGAATATCTTTATTACCAAAGAACTAAAAGGATTTCTATATATGAGTATTTTCCTACTAACATTCTATGTGAATTTATTTTTCTTTCAGTGCCACCGTGGGCCTTAATTGCCATAGCCATAGTTGCAGTTCTTTTAGTCCTGACCTGCTGCTTTTGTATCTGTAAGAAATGTTTGTTCAAAAAGAAAAACAAGAAGAAGGGAAAGGAAAAGGGAGGGAAGAATGCCATTAACATGAAAGATGTGAAAGACTTAGGGAAGACCATGAAAGATCAGGTAATGTATTTATTTCATATTTCCTCTTAGAATATTTTGTTAAAAACTAATAGATAAATGTTTTATTATTCTATGCTAGATACTTTATAGAACCAAACAACTTCTGGACACAAGTCATTGTCACATAGATGCTTTAAAATCCTTTTAGTCATTCATTATTCAACCTCCCAGAGGGCAATGGTAACATTTGGTAGGGCTTTCCTATCTCTGAGCATATAGACTAAAAAGTGGCATCCATGACCACTCGCGCCATCTTGATGGGTCCAGCACATTAAAATAGTGCTGAATATTTTTCGTACATCCGTTTACCAAAACCAAACCAAACCCGTCACCACTGAGTCAGTTCCGAGTCATAGTGACCCTATAAGACAGAGTAGAACTGCCCCATAGAGTTTCCAAGGAGCGCCTGGTGGATTTGAACTGGCGACCTTTTGGTTAGCAGCCGTAGCACTTAACCACTATACATTTAACCACTACGCCACCAGGGTTTTCTACATCTATTTAGACAGTATTAATTGTATTTAGAGATAGAGAAACAGAGAACCTGGATGTTCTCCCTCTTGGGCAGGAGATCTTTCAAACTTTTTTTTTACTGTTTGCAGTCCCTGTTAAATGACTGAGTCTTATAGCTGTTCATCACACTTGATGAAAACTACCATGCCTACATATCCAACTCAGTAATTAGTTCTCAAGAATAATGAATTACACAAGGGAAGGGAGAAAATTGTGAGTGGGTCCTAAAGAGCAGGGAAGAGTTATAAGGCAATGTTCTTATTTCCACACTTAGGGACAATTAATACCAGAACACTAGTTTCAGAATATGTTCTGGCTGGGTTGTCTTCCAAAGTTTAAAGAAGCTATTTGACTGTCCTTTACAGTGTTACAAATTTTTACTAAATTAATTGGATGATAGGATTCAGGATAAAGTTTACTATTAGCAATGATAATGGCTAAATCCCTCTTCATTTAGTTTTTTAGAATCGTATTCATATTGGATATTTCTAAGGAACATAGGGTCACTATGTGTTGGAATCGACTCGACGGCAACGGGTTTGGTTTGGTTTTTTTAAGGAACATTTAATTCATATGAAATAAAATGTAAATATAAATTTATATAGAAATAATATTTTCAGTTATCAAGGTTTCCTATCAAATAATTCAAAAATTTATTCCCAGGCAGTTTTTAATTCCTCTTATAGTACTGATTACTATTACTTGAATTCTTAAAGATGTGAATCTGCTTACTTAACTTTATGAAAGATTTAATCATGTGTTGTAACACGTTTTTAGTACATTTGTGTAGTTTCCTAGTTAACTACGTACTCAGAACACTAACCCTTCTTCTCAACTTCAAAGTCTTTTCTCAAAGACATTGTAAGATCTGTTGACAACAATTTCACAAAGCCTCATTTTTTCACTCCCTGCCCTTTTGTTTTGTTTCAAAGCTATGGAATGGATGTAATGTCTTCACTCGCTCTCAAGAGAGTTTTATCCTAAGCTCAGGGTAACAAGGGTTAAATTTTTCTGACAGTTTCTAATCACAGCCATAAGAGTCCGTGCACATTTCAACCGCAGATGTCTAATAAGGATTTCTCTCTTCAGTTAATTTATTAAGTAGTAACTGAAATTTTAAACCATGTCTTGCTTTATTCCAACATTTTCCATAGCCATCAAGCTATGGTACAGATTTCCTTAAGCAACTTATTGGGGGATTAAATATGGAAATAATCTCCTACATGAACAGAATAATATACATGATAATTTCAGCTGTATTTGTGAGAAAAAATAATTTGAAAATACAATACTATCATTTTCATGACTACAGTGACATTCAAATGTGGTTTCCCTGTATCCTAGGAATAAGAATTCAAAGCCTGAATAATGTTGGAGGATAACTATAACATTTCTTCCTAGGATAAGAAATCTAAATATATTTTTATTTGTGGAATTTGTTCTGTATGATGTAAAACTATAATTTATAGCATAGCAGTGGTGTTTATTGCCCCTGTTATGAACTGGATAAATGACCAAGTTCTAAAGAGTAATAAATACGTAGAATTAGGGGTGGTTAATTTTTCATTGCTCACTCATTCCTTTAGATGGGGGGGCAGAGAAAAATCAGTCAAATAAGGAAATACTAAGAATTTCATGACAGTTTATAATAACAACTGACTGTTATACAAAGCATTTAGGATCTCAGCCACTCAGAAAAGTGTTTATAATCATTTTAGGTAGATCACTTGGTCTATATAAAATTTTAGTTAGGTCTTATAAGTTATAAACAATTAAATATACTTAATGAAATACAATTTGGGCAAATTAAAATAAGCCCCACTGATAAACATTTATATAACAAAAATTTATGTTACTTTTCAAGGCAAATAAAATAGCTAAAAATGGGTTCCATCATTTTATGGAAAAAGGTGCAGAATCAAAATAGAATGTGCAGATTTTAAGACATTATGTCACATGATCATCCAAATTCCGAACAGCCTAAGCACAACATAGAATTTTTCTTACATAATTATATTTTTAAAACATTTTAAGTCAAATGATGTGAATGTGGGAAAGGCAATGTAGATATTCCATGCCTCTCTAATTTTAAAAAAGGACAAATGTGAAAGGCAGTTTAGATATGATTTCTTAAAATTGGCCCTAGGGCAATCAATAAATTACCATTTTAAGCCTGTAAGAACTCACAGAAATTCTAATTTCAATGTCATAGCCAGCTGTCTACATGGTAAGATTTTATAACCAAGGAAGAATGTCAACTAAAAGTAACCATAGATAGTATATTTCTGTATCTATACCTAATATACATATTTATGTTAATTTTTATGCCTTAAAATTTGAGAACATGAAAAATACAGAGGGGAAAGTATCAGCTTGTTAAGTCATAGCTCTGGAAATGTCATTTCTCCATGGTTTTCACTAGTGTTTGTGGATACTTTAATTTTTATTTCTTCCTTCTATGTCCTCCTTATCTGTGTTATGTCTCATGACTGTTCTGGACTGTCCCTTGCGGTAGGTTTCCTCTACTACTTAGACACCCCTAGTCAACGCTCAGATACATTTAGTTGCCTGGCAGCTGGGGATCCACAGCTGAGGGTGGACCATTCTGACACACATCAAGAGGCTGAACTACATTGATTTTTTTATGATAAATGTCCTCATTTTAAACATTACCAACACATATTAAATAGTGACATATTAGAAAGCTCAAGTTTTAAATTGATGGGCACAGAAAGGCTATCCAGTCCCTCTGCCCTCTTTTTGGCGAGCTTTATCAAATCCATATCTGAACAATGTAACTTAAAGTGAACAAATGCTCCTTCTGATGGCTTTAAACAAAGCACTATTCGAATGTCAAAGTAGGCCATAGACATGTACGCTAAAATCTTTGAAATTCAAAATAAGGTCTGATGTTCCCAACACAGCTTTTTCTACCGCAATTTATCAAATTCTCGGAACTGCTGAGTTTACAAGCTTGCTCTTCCATATTTTGTTCCATGGAGAGAAAAATATTGCTCTTGAGATGTTATAATAGCTACTGATTTAATGGGTCTGAATTTAATGTGACGGTACAGAAAATGTCTTGCTTAATCTCAGCCTTTGGGACAGGAATAGACTTAATCACTTCAGTGATGAACAGCGTTACTGAGAAATTATCAAAAATTTAGCCCTATTTCATGCAGGATAATTGCAGAGATGGTCCTGCACCTTTTATTAGGGCAAAAACCACTTTGGGAGAAGGAGATTTAATATCTCAGCTGTTTCAAATTGCAGTGGACTGAAACATGATATGTAAATTGTCAGTTCTGAAAGAGAGTTTTGAAAAAGTATTCAACCCATGAGTTTTGTTTTTTTTTATTATGATAGAGTGATGTACAGATTTTTAAGATGGGAAATGTGTGTTAGTTTGCTATTATTAAGAAAATTAAAATCTTACTGGGAGGTTATTTACCTAACCTGCAATTTTCTAAGCACATTTTCTCTGACAGTATTAAAGGCTTATAAGCTGCTAAGGAGCCCAGGTGGCACAGTGGTTAAGCACTTTGCTGCTAACCAAAAGATTGGCAGTTCAAACCCACCTGCTGCTGCTCTGTGGAAGAAAGGTGTGGCAGTCAGCTTCCGTAAAGATTACAGCCTTGAGAGCCCTATGGAGCAGTTCTACTTTGTCCTATAGTGTCGCCATGAGTCAGAATCAACTCAATGGCAATGGGTTTGGTTTTTTGGGTAAGGTTTTGAAACGGCAATGGGATTCCACTGCCTGAAGTTCTCTACTTAAACTCAGTAATCTTTTCTTGTCGCTTTACTAGCTCATGTTCCCTTTAGTGACACCCCCCCCTCCATCAAGTTGAAAGATTAATGCAAATTTTTAAATAATTATATTGTTTCCTGGCTCCGGCTATCAGTAAACCAACATTTTAATATGTACAGAAATATCCAAGTATAAATTAAACTTTTCAAATTAAATGGTATATGGCTAACCAAATTGGAAAGGGTTTCTACATAGATATAATAATGGCATTTTTCAGTTTTCCAAACACATTGTAGGCTCCTGAGAAATTTCAAGAAGCACAAAAGGGGTGGCATCTCTGGCCACAACTCAACTCTCTCATTATATGGTCTTCTCATGTGAATGCATCTGTAAGGCAACCAAGTCTCAGTGTCTTTGGATCAAACTGGAGTTAGCTAGGTGGAGCCAACTTGGGAAACCGTGTAAAAACAGGAACCAAGAGTGCCATTTTGAAGAACCTCTGAGGGTCCCTGTTTAAGTGGATGAGTGAGCAGGGAAGCTTTGTCCTGAGAATGAAGAATGCAGCAGAAAGAAAAGACTATGTGGTACAGGTGATGCAGGGAAGTGCAGGAGAAGCTGGAATCTGATGATGCTAATGCCTTTCCATTTATATTTGCATTTGAATTTTACAACAGTCTTCAGATTCAGTTTGAGAGCTGGCAACCGTTAAGATTTCCTTTACTTTGTCAGAGATATAAAACCGTTGACCACTCATATCAGCACTCCCCCCCAACACACACATAAACAAAAAGAGAGAAATGAGAATGCCATAATCAAAAGCTAGGAGACAATATTTGCTACATACAACAACAACAACAAAAAAGACTGAGGTCACTAAAATATAAAGTGTTCCTGCAAATCAATAAGAAAAAGACAAAAAACACAATAGAAAAATTAGCAAAGGATATGAATAGGCAATTCCAAGAAGAAAAAATACAAATGACTAATGTAAAGATTTTTTAATTATTCAATCTTACTAATGATCAGAAAAATATAACTTCCTATAATTTTCAATTTTGACCAATGACTATTTCTAATTTTTTTAATTCTTCAAAGCAATAAGAATGTACATCCCTAGAAACAAAGTTTCTAAGATTCATAATCTATAACCTTTAATATTTTAGCAAAATTTTTGCATTTGTAAGAAAATGCATTACTTTTTTTTTAAGAGAAGCATTTCAATGTATTTTCTGACATAATGAGCTTTCTAGTATTTCGATCTATGTTACACTTAAGTTTCAAGTTATAAACAATATTCAGTTGGTCATAATATTTTAAAAAGGGAGAACAGTACCACAATATTTGTTCTTTAAGGCAAAATGAATTTTTATACAAGTTTGAATTTTTGACAAAATTGCAAAAAAAACATTTTTACATTTCAATATCAAACAGACCGTTACATCAATTTAATTCAGCCTAGCTTTCTGTGGAGCTGTTATAAAAATAAAATGGTAAACTTAAACTGGAAGTTGGGTGAACTTTTCTCTAAATATGCATTTGCTGGTGGCATGTTTTTTCCTCTTTTTCTGTAACCATTAGAAATATATTTGTGAAACTTGGGGAATTAAACTTTTCTGAGAATTACTTGTTCAATTTTTCATAGGAAATAAGGAAACAAAAGGCCATGCGCTCTATATAAATTACTCTTTTGCATGTAACGATGATATTTTACTTGATGCTTAGCATCTCTTTAAACTAAATGAATGTAAAACCTGGCCTGGTTAATGGCATGTTTACCACATTTTCCTCTGAAGGAAGCAGTTTGATCAGAACCAAATTTAATACCAACTTGACGTTTTCTTCACAACCATGTTACATTCTTTGCTTGCAATATTCTGAGGGGCTTCTTCCATTGCTTCCATGTTGCTTGCTGGTTGGGGGAGAAAATTCCGTGCACACATGGAATTTAAAAAATATGTAAGCAGCAAATGTGAATGCGTGTCAGACAAACTGAGATTTCCAGCATCTTAGCGCTTGCTTCGAACAGCTTGGAACTATAACTACAGGCCCAGTTTAATTCGAGTTTTGATGAAAATTCACTTGAATTCACATATGATCCTTTTCTCTACCCACAGGCTCTTAAGGACGATGATGCTGAAACTGGATTGACTGACGGGGAAGAAAAAGAGGAACCCAAAGAAGAGGAGAAACTGGGAAAGCTTCAGTATTCACTGGATTATGATTTCCAGAACAACCAGGTCTGAGGGAAAAAAAAAGTCTTCTAATTCCATTACATTTTCTGAAATTATCAAGGAGAAATTGAAGCAAGATACTTCTTAAAATATTTCATTTGCTGTGAGGGGAAAATGTAATTATCAAAGCTATTGATGAAAAAATTTCTAAGTGCAGGCAGTCCCCTACTTGCTAATTTAACTTCTGCTAATTAGAATTCACAGTATTCAACAGATTACATCTACTTATGGCACTTACGCAGGCAGAATAAAAATTAACTTGAAGCACCCAGCATGCTCCTGAGAGCTCCCAGCCTGTCTCGCCCCTACATGATCCCTCAAGCCTGAGCTGGAACAACCTTCCTTGGACTTCATGGATTTAGATCCAAACAGGGCTAGGGGGCCTTTGAGTTGAGCCACCAGTCAAGCCAAAGTTTTGAAACATAGCAGACTGATAAGGAATCAAACGATAAACAATTGACTATGGTCTATGAATTTTAAAGGCAAGAATGCCTTATGAAATACCATGATACTAGGTGAAATACCTAATGCTAATGAGATAGCAATTCTAAAAAAGCAGAAAGACCAGTAACTTGATTTCTAGGGCCTATGACTGCTGCCCAAAAAGTAACAAAGAACTAAAGAGACAATAAAACAAGCATTCCTGCTCCAATTTCTCAAAAAGTCACGAAGTGCCACCTAGATAAACGATTATCTCAGCTACCTTTCATCTAATGGCTGCTATACAAAGAAAACTGTTAAAATGTTTTCTACATAAAGAGAGCTTCCAAAATCTATGACATTGAAGGAGATGTTCCTTTATCTTCTGAATTGCTAAAGAAATTAAAAATTTGTGGAGTCAGCTAAATTAGAGATCAGGGCCTTAAGAATTCTTAGGGCATAGGGGAGACTAAAATATACACATGTATACATATGTATACTCGTTGCCTTCGAGTTAATTCTGACTCATAGCGACCCTACAGGACAGAGTAGAACTACCCCATAGAGTTTCCAAGGAGCAACTGGTGGATTCAAACCACCAACCTTTTGGTTAACAGCCAAGCTCTTAACCAGTGTGCCACCAGGGCTCCACAGGGGAGACTAGGGGAGTTTTAAATCTATTCTCTAGTTTGATTTACTTTACTTACCTTGTTTTGGACAAGGAGGAACATATGAATACAAAGTAAATATAGTTACCACTAATGCAGTATATGTTAATTATTTCCGGTTTTATGAGGAATGAACAATAAATGAATCAAGCACCAATGCTCACCTCTGACCACTGATGTCCAAGTTAGTAATGCCATAAGGGCTCTAACATCATAATAGCTGCAGAATTCTGAATTTTATTTAGGGATTGACAGTTCAAATAATGTCTTCACTGTCTTAAGCTTCCAGAGGATTCCTCATAGAAGATGTATAGGTATGCTCTGTTATTTAAAAAAGAATTTAGACCTGAGTAGTTGTTTTATATTATGCTCTAGAAAGCTGTATATTGGTTTGAAGGTATGGGTTTATAGGTATGGATTTATACCTATGTAAATTTATACCTATATTTATATAGTTAATTAATTATGGCATTTGAGGTCATTTCTATCACTTCTACCAAAATTTGAGCATCAGGACTTGGTTGGGAGCAAAATCTCCTATTATTTATATATTCTAGGGGAAGTCAAGGTTAACTTACGTTATCTTAGCATACAACATTTTTTCCAGATATTTAACCTGCCTGTGTATATGCATCCAATTTTTTCTCTCAATTTATTCTACTTTCCTATTTTTCAGTAGAAACCTTCAGATATCTCATTCTGGTTAGTCATAATTTTGAAACTTCTAAATTGGCATTGATTACTATAAGTAGTATTTTCTAGAGTAGTGTTTTTAAGAAAATAAATAGCATTGATTTTTTTTTTCTTTTGCTGACATCTAATAAGAGTACATTTCCTGTTCCCATTTCAGCAAACATCAAATCTAGAAAGGTATTTTACTCTGAGGATCTGGAAGATTCCATCTGATGGATTTTTTTTTTTAATATTATGCATTGATTCTTTTTTTCAAATGTTCTCAACTAATTTGATGATTCCTATGAGGTAGAGAAGATAAAGTCTCAGAAACTTCATAGATAAAGCTATAATCAAATGTGCATGTTTGCTTACCAAAACTAGAACCCGTTGACCCATTGCCATCAAGTCGATTCTGACTCATAGCAACCCTATGGCCAAAACTAAAAGACCATCCTAGTTTGGCCTTCATGATGGAGAGAAATGTAATACATCTATTTCTTGGATAGGAGTCAGAGAGGTTGGAAGAAATGAATTCACCCTCCAACAATGAAGTATCCAAAAGTCTTTAAAACATAAATGACCAAGTTTTAGAGAGTTTAAGCTATATGTGTATATAGTGCTTTCCCTGCCAAAAAGAAAATTTGTTATAAAAGTGAGACTGAGTATTACTTGCAAATACAATCTCGTTTACTCACATTGTTATCCAAAAGAAAATACCATGTTTCAGTTTGGCAAACCAAGAGACAGATTGTTTGCTTTACTAATCCTGCATTTATATGTCTGATGCCTATTTTATTTATTCTTTGATCATCTTTCTGTGTTTTGTCTACCTACAATGCTGTACTCTTATTGCTATGGCTATATAATGATGCCACAAAAAGAAATTGAAGCATTAAAATGGAAACAACATAATCATTTAGGTTATTGTTTCAGGTGCGCACTTAAGACCATGGCAGGTCACTTTTACAGAAAATGGGTGAGATTTCTTTAAAGTGGTGAATTGCTTTTCCACTCTATTGGCTTTAAAAAAACATAGACTCAAAAACAAAACAAAAGACACAGACTCAAATTTTCAAGCTCTGATGTGAAAAGCTATAGTGTGACTGCATTTATTGAATAGTATATACTTGGATAACAATAAGAGACTCTACTTTTGTTTCCCAGATGGATTTAAACAACCCCCTTAACACAAGATCTCCAAGGGCAGGGCATCTGGAACAATCTACTCACATCTTTTTTTTCCCTTTGCAAAAATACTACCACCACCAGCCTAGACTCTCATTCAGAAGTCTTAGGAATACACCTCTAAGAAAACAGACTTGCAGAAATGCAAAGATTTCTGGCATACTTGAAAAAAAAGTAAAGAAACTTAGTCATGTAGCACTGAAAACCATATCTATAATCTCACGTTCATTTAAGCTTATATTCATTTAATTTCTTTGACTCCATGTCCTATATTTAAACACAGAATTTAATAATAATAATTATACTGGGAGTTAAAAATATTAGCCAGAACACAAGTCAAGGTCAAATATGAAAGAAACTTGAAGATCTTATTTCCCAAAATGCTACCCAATTTCTAAGAAATTTCTGTTTAGCTTGCCTGAGGCTTTGGTGTAGAATAACATTTGCCTGCTTTATGATTACAGACTTGTGATTGTTTAACAATTTATTTCCACTTACAAATCATGCCCTGGAAAGAAACATAATGCACAAGGGCTTTTAGTAACTGGAAAGTTATTTGATTGCAACCCTTTTGCAAATATGGATTCCATATTTAACTGTAATCAGCAACCTTTTAAAAGCATCTTTTATGTTTAAAACCAGGCTTCCTAGAGCCTGCATCTGTCATAATTGGTTTCTGAAGTCTATGTAGCTTGCTTCATTTGCCTTCTGTCTTCGGACTCATGACAGAATAAAAGTTTATCAAAAGCAGGAAGAGGGAGAAACAACAATATGCAGCATTGGAAAAAATAAATAAATCTTTTCCAAAATATCCACCAATGTTTGTGTTTGCTGTTTTCTTATTCATTTCAGCTGCTGGTAGGGATCATCCAGGCTGCCGAGCTGCCCGCCTTAGACATGGGGGGTACATCTGATCCCTATGTGAAAGTGTTCCTGCTGCCTGATAAAAAGAAGAAATTTGAGACAAAAGTCCACCGAAAGACCCTTAATCCTGTCTTCAACGAGCAATTTACTTTCAAGGTTTTTTTTTATACTTACTTATAATTTTTCCTCGGTTGATGTTACATAAAAAAGACTGATCTCATCCTCACACTACACAGATTGGCACATAAACACTTTCTAAGGTGCTCACAAATAATTCTATTCAGAATATTTACAATAATTATCTTCAAACCAGTAAGGATTCTATACCACATTTAAATTGGTCAAAGTAGGATTCAGCTTCATCATTTCAGAATGGAATATAACTAGGATGTCATATTCACATCTAAAAAGTAAGGTCTACTTCATGGGTGCCAAAAGGCTTGAACATTTCCCCCCTCTCTACAATAAAATCAAAGAAATTAATAAAATCATTACTTTTCTAAGTTTTAAAGTTCCTGAAAATAGGTAAGCCTGGTCAAAATCACAGAATAAACTGTGTTCCAATGTTTAAAGGGCACAAATAGATATTATTCTGTTTTCAAAATTCTCTGTGTGCAGGGGCAAACTGAGCACTCTAAAACTGTTCTTCTTGTCAATTAAAAAAAAATGTGAATGTATTGTTTTTCTGCATTTCTAGCATTTTTCTTCACTCTAGGCTCTTCCCTGGTGCTCTTCATCTTGTTGAGACACTTCAGTTGACAAACAATAACAGAATGGCCATATAATAACTTGACAAGAAATTGTGCCCTGCAGGCTTCAATCATTGCTACATACACAAGTTTTGTAGCTCTTGGCTTGAAGTCATTCATAAAAACAATTCTTTTGGTAGATATCTTTAATATACAAAAAAAAAATTTAATGCATTACTTAAAACAATACATCTCTGAAAAATGAAATGTCTGTGACTATGCCAGCATTCTAATTCAAAATCACCATCAGCCAGACTAGCGATAACAAGTGCCTCATGTGGCAATAAATTGATAAAGCTTAGGGCATGAGTCATTTTTCCGAACCTTGTTTCTAATTCTGTAATGGAGCATTCTCTTTCTACTCACTCTAAAATTTTTGAGTTTTGAAGACAAAAGTTACTAATTTGTTTATGGTAATCCTATTTAAAACCTTTACTTTTCCTTACCCAGGGAGTTAATTCAGAGCAGCAGAAAAAAACATTATGGAGATACTCAGTTTATGAAGACCTAATCACTGTAGCAAATATATCACAAAACAGAAAATATAAATAAAAGGAAAAATATTGCAAATGCTAATCACAATAATTTTATTAGAGTATATATTCATCTTAATTTAGGTCAGCAGTTTCTAACCAGAATTTAATAAGCACATTCTTAAATTATTTGAAAGAATGTTGCAGGGACTTAGTTTTGAGTTTTAAGTATATCATTTCTTATTATACATATTTACTATTGCAAAAAAAATTGTTATTTGCAATAGTGTTTTTATAAAATAATTAGATTCCGAAAAGATGATAAATAAATGACAGACGATAAAAACCTTAGAAAACTCAAATTTCTTATACTTATATAGTCAAATATTCTCTCTTCTCCTTTCTTTTTTTAATATACAGAGTTAATTAAGAAATGTTTGCTAGAGCATAAGATACCATTTACACTGATAAAATAATAAGAAGTGTATTAAAATTGATCAAACCTTCAGCACAAGTCTAAACAATTTCTTAATTAGGAATTCCTACTTAGCTACTGAAGTATTGCTTACTTGGATTGCACTGCTTTTCCTGAATATTAATATTGTCACTAATAAACATCCCAACCCATAGCATCTGTCTCAGATATATTCGCACAGCTGGATAATTCATCAGTTCTTGGCCTTTTGCCGCCACTCATCCTAAAGAGCGTCACACCTAAGAATGAACTTCAAGATCTATTTTGTAATGCATCTCTAAAACATCAATTTTCTAGTCAGTTCATGTCAATCATTAAATTATTTTAGGGAGTAGGTAAATAAGGCACTTTGTGAATTTCATTGACATTCTTTCAGACTACTCATATACCTTTTAATAAATCACTTTTCCATTAAACTGCTACATCCAAATAGCTTGAAAGAGTTAATGAAACATTTAGAGCAAGTTATCTGTCCCTGAGTAAGTTGTACCCTAGCCAATATAACTTAAAATATTCTACAAGAAAAACTTACTTATAAATAGTCAACTGTAAGTGGCTTATTTTATTATTTTATCAATCTTGAACTGTTTATAACATAACTAATAGTAGGATCCATTATTAACAATACTAATTTCTTCTTTGGGGTAAAGTGATAAATCACTATGATAAGTTTCCATTTTCTCTCAAGTAATTTAAGCTTCAAGCAGTAAGCCAGATGACTCAGTTCAAGGAAGAACCAAAAACATAATTATCAACCTGTTCTGTTTATCCAATATAAACATTAAAATTAAAACTCTCTAAACCAGCAACATGTTTTTAGCATTTTTCTGACCAGATATTTTGCCCTCATCTCTTTTATTTAGGTACCATACTCGGAATTAGGTGGCAAAACTCTGGTGATGGCTGTGTATGATTTTGACCGTTTCTCCAAGCATGATATCATTGGGGAATTTAAAGTCCCCATGAACACAGTGGATTTTGGTCATGTAACTGAGGAGTGGCGTGATCTGCAAAGCGCTGAGAAGGAAGAGGTAAGAAAGGCATTAGCTGTACTCACCAGTTGCTACACACATAATAACCTATTGAGAGATGCTCTTTAGAAAGGGTGAGGTGGGCCTCCAGCTGCTGACAGCTGGCAAAACAGGCTCAGGGGATTGCATAACCTCGTTAAAAAGTATTCAGGTCTTCTGGGTGTTATTTGAAAGAAAAGGGAGATTTGTGCACAGGATCTATAGCAACTCCCCTAGACACACATGTATGTGCATACACAGAGAGAGAGAGACAGAGAGAATCTGTTTCTAAAAGCTTGCAAAATGTCACCAAAAACGAAGTCAATAAAAAAAAATTACTTCTTTAAATGGATAGTGAAAAACCTTTTTTTCTTCCTATTTTCCACAGTCATTTTGTGTTTTCTACATTGGTTATGTAGCTATTAAATAGAAATAAAATGGCACTTTTTCCTTGATTATTTCTGTGTATTGCAGACAGCTCATTGTTTCTCCTGAAAACCTCAGAGCATGATGAGGGAAACATCAAATGTAATCCAAAAGGCTGATATTAAATCCATTTTTTAAATGACTCACATTTTTATAGTACTCTTCACATTATTTTTTCTCAGTTTTAATAGTTTAGCCCAGTATTTTTCTGTGATTTAAAAAGGGAAGTTCGATATACCCAGTGCATTTAAGCTATGTAATAATCTATTCTATTTGATTATGTTATGCCTGCCTGGCACTAGCATTTTTCTTTGAGAGTATCTCAGCAGGCCAATACCAGAAAAGCAAACAACTCTGAGCTTCTTCGAGTTGCTAAAACAACTCATTTTCCAGCAATTTTGGGGTCCTGACATGGGGCCATGATTACCCAAGGGATTACCAATAGCCTTCAGTCATTTAGGATCCCTAAATGCCTAGGGGAGACCCTGGGTGATGCAAACAGTTAACACATTCAGCTGCTAACTGAAAGGTTGGCAGTTCAAGTTCACACAGAGGCACTGTGGAAGAAAGGCCTGGCTATCTACTTTCAAAAAACTAGCCATTGAAAACCTATGGATCACAGTTCTACTCTGACACACATGTGGTTGCCATGAGTTGGAAGTGACTCTATGGCAACGGGATATTAGATGCCTAGAATTTCCTAAGATGTGGTTACTTCGGGGCCACCAGGGAGATCAAACTATCTGTGGTTAGTGAACATGTGAACAGTTAGAGAGAGTGTCCCAAGCCTTCAGAGAAACTATCTCAACCAAACCCATCCCCTAGGAATCCTCTCAGCCTAAGGTTTTATCTGATCAGTCTGAAACTACTAACTGCATACTCCTTATGTAATGAAGTGAGGTTTTAGAACAGGCTTGTGAATTGCTGTGCTGAAATTAGATTTTGCTAGTGCTCTAAATTATTATTTGGTTGTTCAAAAAAAGTCACAATTATCTGAGTTACACTTTAATTTTTTTTTTTTTTCTTGGAAGGGATATACATAACTTAGCCAAAATAGATTAGCGAAATTGACATTCTTGGATCTTGAGATAGCTAAAGCCCTATTGTGGATTTTCAAGAACAACCTAGAAAAATATTGAGTCTTTAAACTTCATGATTTTTCTAAGTAGTTTTTCCCTATGAGTGAACTAATATGTACATTAAGTCCAATATCTGTGTAAAAATAGAAATATTCAATCATTCAATTGCAATGTTTCCAATCATTTAACAAAGTAGTGAGATGTTCCATTTTATGTTATATTGGACTGTTTGACTTTGTGTACATTCCTTGTGACTGGAGAAAAAATGGGACCATAACAAATATTTATTAATTGACCAGGTTTTATTATTTGACTGGTTTTGGGTTGGTCTGTTGGTTGTATATCAGAATATGACCCCCTTGTACCTCATAATGCCCACCTGTCCAGGGTGCATGAGTCACACTCCTGCTTCCACCAGGTGATGTGGGATTCCAAGATTGCACCCACTGGTTTCTGTAAAGTTGAGAAATATTTTTACCTGAGTTAAAGAAATGTAGCTGTTGGGTTGCGCAGTTAAGCACTCCACTACTAGCCAAAAGGTTGACAGTTCGAACCCATCCAGAGGTGCCTTGGAAGACAGGCCTAGCGATCTGCTCCCTAACGGTCCTATGAAGCAGTTCTACTCTGCACACACGGGGTCTCCATGAGTAGGAATCGACTGGATCGCAACTAACAACAACAAGGCTGTTAAGAAGTTTTCCTCTTTCAAACATTCTGACTATGAGTAGTACTTGTCCTTCTCTCTCTTTCTTGCATTTATTTCTTCTTCCAAGTTTCTCACCCTAAAACTTTTGTCATCCAACTCATTCAAAAATATTCATTTTGTAAATATTTATTAAACACTGCCATATTCCAGGAACTGTACTAGGGGTTTAAAAAAAAAATGAAAAGGGTAGACACTTTCCCTGCTTTCATGGAGTCTAGTGTTACTTCATTTTTCTTCTGAACTCCAACCTTTGTCTTGCTTATTGCCAACTAGATGGTTTTCTAAAAACAAAAAAGTGCTATCTTTAAGATCAAACCCTCCTGGGTTTCAACCCTGACTAACCCATTTACTAGCTCTGAGATCTTGGACGACTCACTTAACCTCTCTAAAATTCGGTTTTTAATCTATAAAATGGTCTCAATATTATCTACTCCTTACCTTACTTCTAGATTGAATAGGAGAGAATATAAGATACCTAGGTTAGGGCCTGGTATGTGATAAGTGTTCAACAATGACACATCTCCAACTCATTTTTCTTGGCCCATCTTCTTTTTTGTGCTGTTTCTCCTTCGTCTGTTTTCATCTACCTATTTCTTCCATGTCTATATCTATGTCTACTTCTTCCTTCTTTTTCTCATCACCATTGTGCTTATTAAATGCCTCTAGAGGTTTTTAATGGGAAATGATAATTCTGCAATTACATTTTTAAAAACCTGGTGCCTATCCTCATTGATATGTACTCGGGAATAGTAATTTTTGCTTTTCAGTTTAGTGACTATTTCCCTTTAACATGATATAGGAAGCCTCATAAAACAGATGTCTAACTTAAAAAGTATCTCTGGATGACTAGACCCGGGTATAAACTTTCTTGTAATAAATGAACTAAGCTTCCAATTACGTTTTATATCTGAAGAATTACTTTTTCTCACTGATATGTGCCCTATCTTTTCATGCTACTGTCCATTAACTGCAGAAAATTATAATTATGTGAATAAATTGCAGTCTTAGATAAACCTTAGTTCTCATGATTTTAGAGAAATTGTTTTTCTATTTTACATGAGCTATTTTGTATGAGATTTTTGTTTTGCTTTCATCTAACAATGTTCAATGTTGTTTTTAATGTCATAGCAAGTTGAAAGATAACAAAGAAAGTGAGAAAAAGGGAATTCAAGGAATAGCTTTGGAATCTAGACACTGAACTGGTAATCATTGTAATATGTCCAGTTAGAGTTTTAGATTCTGATAGAATGAGGTAGGCTTTGTTGCCAGAAAGATGAAAAAAATATAAAAGTCATAAGATGGAAAAGCAATTGCATAAATAAAGGATTCTGCTTTATTTTAATGGTCATTTAAAACGCAAGCAATTAAGAAAGAAATGGAAAGGATCACGGCGTAAGAGCCTTATCTGGATGTTACTAAGCACATGTTTAAAAAAGAGGGGGTGTAGAAGAGATAAGCTCTGCTGGAAGAACCTGAACAAGCACACAGCTCCCACTGTTAAGATTCCAGCCTCTGGTGAAAACATCAATGGTGAGGTTTCCATTCTGGTTTATGCTCCTCTAATTAACACTATGGAGCCCTGGTGGTGCTCGTGGTTAAGAGCTCAGCTGCTAAGCAAGGCAACAGCAGTTCAAATCCACCAGCCACACCTTGGAAACCCTGTGGGGCAGTTCTACTCTGTCCTATAAGATCACTATGAGTCGGAATCAACTCAATGGCAATGAGCTTGTTTTTCTGGTTGCTAAAATAACACAATGAAAGCCATCCTACTGGTTTGGGTTCCCTTGCCATTTTTTATGTTGTGTGATTGACCACTCCCTTCTTCCATCCCCCATCCACAATAGATGATGTTGGAACTTGACCTTGGAGACAACTCAACATTTCTCTTACTTTTGTTTCTTTAAAACAGAAAATGTATATCCTCTGAGTTTTGAGAGATGGCTACATATAAAATTGTTAGTTTTTCTTAATTTTTGCCTTCTCAGCATAAAGTGTCAAAATCATCATTTGTAATTAGTAATACAGTTCATCCATTTGCAAAAGGCTTGTAATATGCATAGCCTCGGGCTGTCTGTTAGATTTTGAGATTTTCTTCTTTTGTTTAATGATTCAACAAATAGTTACCAAGCTCCTACTATATGCCACCCACAAGTCAAATACGAAAACAACCTTCATAACCCTCAATTAATACTTTCACTTAATCACTTCAAATTTTACACTCAACCGCTATGATTCCATTGTTCTCCCTTCATAAATGCCCTTATTTATGATCATTTTAGAAATTGTCTCATCCCTGCACCCCAACAGCAGCTACATACATACATCTTCAAAGCATTTAACTCTTTAGTTTAGCATTTCATTCCAACTTTTTAAATTTATTTTTCATCCTCATGCTTTCCACTACTACTGCTTATTTCTGAAAACAGCATAGATACCACCAGAAAACAACTGAGCCTCTTTGTTTTGTCTTGTTTGCTTTGTTTTTTAGCAGCCTGCCCCAATATACTGCAAGCTCTCATCACTTGCCTGCTACTGTTTTGTCCCTATTAGGGAGTAAGTCTATCACCTCTGCTTTGTGTGGAATTCATTAAAGAGTGATTTTTAAATGAGATTCTGTAATCCAGTGCAAATGGAAAAAAAATTGATTGTTGAATTAAAACAAGTTGGGACATAATTTAATTAGTATCCAAGCAGAAGGGAAGAGAAACTACTTTAGTGCCTTAATAAAAAATCAATTTTGCAAGAAAATTTCACATTTTTAAGCCCAATTAGAAAAACATTTACTTCACATAAAAGCATTTGGAGAACAC